AAGCGTGTGGCATGTGCTGTATATGTTTTATTATAACGAGTGTTCATATTAATTACGTTATAATGTAAATATTTGTCCATACAGATCAACTCAGTCCTTGATATAGAAAGCACAGATTACTATGGTATTGAAATCCTTGGTTTTTATCCTGGTAGCATAGGCGTCGATGCTGTTGTACATTTTGACCAGACTACTACTACAACAGCAACCGATGTGCGAGAATCTCTGAATACTGCGTCTGACACTGCACCGTTAGAAATACTTCAAGCAACCATTAATACAGCTGATGAGCGCGTATCATGGCGAGAAGACGGCCGTTGTGGATCACTTTACCGAGGAACAAACGGGGTCAACCCAGCTGAATGTGATCCTTATGGTTCGACGCCTTGCTGCTCTTCTACGAAAGTCTGCGGCGATTCACCAGATCACTGTGAATGTGATGGATGTATAGACTACAGAGATGTGTATGGAGGTAACAGTTTTAGAGATGAAATATGATATATCATATCATGTCCTATCATATCATATCATATCATATCATATATTGGCCACCAGAATTATAATACTTTTTTCATTTAGATTGTAAACACAAATTTCAAATGTTATATTCCAGATTAATTAGTTATTATTAGTTTTTATTAGTTATTATTAGTATTTATTAATGACGGTTTATAGATATTCACATTGAGAGGGGTTTATGGTAAAACTAAATATGTTCAATTATTTTAATAATTTGTTATTAATTTCAGTTACCATAACAACTACAGCTACAACTACAGCTACAACTATGTCTACGGATTCGGGTATATATATATATATATATTATGTGTTTAATTGCAATTTATCTTATTTGTATCGGTCATGATTTTATAGTCGATATAATATTTGTCATAATGACTATCAATTCAAATATTAAGTAATTTTTAATATCTCATTTTTACTTAATATCTATGTATTCTTTTAAAAAGTTATTATTAATTTGTTTATTGAAAATATTTTGAAACGTTTATACTTCAATTTACGTTTTGACAAATATACACAATCTATAAACTTGAGTTTTGTTTATTTATATCTAAGTTCAACGTATTTTGTTAATCAATTTCAGTTACTACTGAGGCTTCTGTGACTACAGAGTCAGGTAAATATATTTCATATCAACATTTTATTTATCAATCTTTCGTTTAAGTTGGCGATGTCGTTGAAGCAACTCCATGTACTAGATAAACACACTGTTTATTCATGTTTAGATATATGTATTTTTCAGTGTTGCGCACAAAAAAACAACATTCGTTATTTGATTTGTTGAATAAATGTTAGTATGCCTGTCAATCATTGGAGCGGTTGTGGGTTCCATTCCCATGGTTGGCTACACATTCAGCAGCATATTGCCAGGCTCGCGGCATATCCCCGTGAAAGATCCAGTTGTCTTGCCGCAAACGGTAACGGTTCCCGTTGTTTTGGGGATAACAATATATTACTAACATATTAAATTTTGCGTGTGCGCCGAACGGCAGGCGCATAATGTGAAAGTGTTTCTATTTCTCCAATGTATATGATTTCCTTTGTATATTCACACACAATCTTCCAGTATTGAATTTGTTTTTTATTTACTTTTTTAGTGGGTACTATAAATTAAAATAAGTAATTTTTAATATCTAGATATTCTTTAAGTAACCAGTTATAATTAGGTAAAAGTTTATATTTCAATTTACGTTTTGAGAAATATGCACAATCTATTAAATTGTGTGTTGTTTATTTATATCTAAGCTCAACGTATTTTTTTTAAAATAATTTCAGTTACAACTGAGGCTTCTGTGACTACAGAGTCAGATAAATATATTTCATGTCGACATTTCATGTTTCATTTCATTTATTCTTTGGTTTAAGTTGGGGATGTTGTTGAAGCAGATCCGTGTAGATAAACAAACCGTTTATTCGTGAAATATATATATATATATATATATATATATATATATATATATATATATATATATATATATATATATATATATATATTTCAGTTTTGCATTCGTCATCTGATTTGTTGAATAAATGTTAGCATGTCTGCCAATCATTGGAGCGGTTGTGGGTTTCATTCCCATAGTCGGCTACAAACTCAGTAGGATATTGCCAGGCTCGCGGCATATCCCAGTGAAAGATCCAGTTGTCTTGACGCGAACGGTAACGGTTCCCGTTGTTTTGGGGATAACAGTATATTACTAACATATTACATTTTGTGTGTGCGCCGGACGGCAGGCGCATAATGTGAAAGTGTTTCTGTTTCTCCAAAGTATATTCACACACAATCTTCAAGTATTAAATTGGTTTTCTATTTACTTTATTAGTGGGTACACCAACGGCAATCCCACCAGTGTCCACCACCGAGCCAGGTAAACTGTTATTATTGCAATATATAATGATAGATAGATTATGAATTATCAGTAATCACTGAGTCATGTTTTCTTCTACTCGACTCAACATGACTAAATATACCCCCAAAAATACACACTAATATCGCCGACTATCGCGATGAATGGCAACATTTATCCGTATTTGAATTTATTCTCAGAGGAAGTATCGGAAAAGATTTACTGGGCACACTGGAATAGCTCAACGTGGGATCAAACAATATCCGTGTGTGAACAAATGGGAGGATCAATTATAACCATTCCAAATGCAGAGGCCCAGCGAAAGCTAGAAATAAAGATTCTAACTGACACAGAACATGTTCGAACAGGTAAGAACCGATTGATAATGTATTTCCCAGCTGATTATCCTCGCCAGTTATGGGTTCATTTTGTTCGGCCGTCGCCTCACTATTATACCTTGGTAGAATTCCCTCTATGAACTTGTATTCACTGTCGATGAAACCAAACCGACAGCTGCCCATGGTCTGGTGCGTTTCCATGGAAAATGAAAAGCGAAGTTACGTCTTGAAATCGACCGTGAAGTTATACGTGGTTTGGTCGGGAAGGCTACGACGTTATATGAGATAGCACATTCTGATGTTTTAAATTCAAAATTGGTGCGCTGATTGATAGATCCATGAGCATTTTTGTAATTAGCGTGCGTTGTTATCGTCGCCTAGAACTCAATGCCCACGCATGCGCACGTGGCGATGCTCGCTGTATAATCATCGGGTGAATACATTATTAATATTTGTAATAATCTAACTGTTATGCTTGTAGACTTATTTAACACGAAATCGCAATGTTACATATACACACGCACACATTGGTATAATTCGTTAACCGACCAGATACATGGCAGCAATATATGTTTTGGAAATACACATTACAGTACACATAATTAAATGAATTGTTTATACGACCGTTTGACTCTTATTTATTCAATTTATATTTAATTTCTTGACTCATTTCCTTGTTTCACAGTTGGATATTACCTTGGAATTCGTCGATTACCGGATGACACATGGGCAAATGTAGATGGGTCTCCGTTGACGTATACTAACTGGGACGATGGCTATCCTGATAGCGAAGACGGTGACTGCGTTTGGTTCTAGTAAATCTCAAATATTTAATCATTATTTTATCTAGAAGTCGTATTTCCAATAAGCTGGTCAGATAACATTCGGAAATATGTACATATTGATACTTGAAAAAAAAGCCGTAAATCGAATCAGTCTGTGGTATACAAATCAACTAAACTTCTAAGGGTTTGATTAAAATATGTACGGTTGTCGATTTATAAACAGACATTGTTCTAATTAATACGTCTTTATCTTAAAGTGGGGCTGGAATTGGAGCTTCGTGGGAACCATCGTTCGGGAAGTGGAGAAACCGACCTTGTTATGTCAGACTGACCGTGCCTGTCAATATGATGCCGGTGGTACGTTTGACACAGTACTGTGTTTATATTGTAAATGTCATTTCTATATTTAGGGAAATCCTTATTTTTTGAAACATATACACCTAATAATATGTTGTTATTACGAGAATACCTCAAAGTATGCACGAAGACAGTACATTACAGCTGGAATATTGACCGATGCGCAGCGGAGGTTGGTGCGCGGCTTACTGTACTGTCCTTCCAACGATACGCCATGGGAATGTCAAAATCCATAAGTTTAGAACATATTGAGCGAACTTCTTTGTGTGGAGTCTGGTCAAACCCTGGTGGCAGCCATATTTGTTTTTATTATTCGCATTCGCACTTCCTAATAAGGTAGGATGAAAATACCGCAAAATTACGGCACGCTGTAATTTATGCCGTTACAGTGACAGATGTATAATAATAATTATCATTCTCATACATTTTAAAATAGTTTTTTTTTATCTATCGTATATATACTGTAATTTTCTAATACGCCTCCGTGTATTGGCAAAATAGAACCTGAACCCGTGATACCACCGGAAGTGAGATATTACAAGGCTTATATAGGACCTAAAAATTGGGACTCAGCAAGAGATGTTTGCATGGACAATGGCGGAGACCTTGCTTCAGCACCTGACGAAAGCGCTTATAAACAGCTCGTAGCAGCACTGGTTGAAGATGGCATTTACACAATATTCGGTGAGTGTATTCTTTAACAGTATTTACGCACCCACACTCAACACATGTCGTATGTTGATTATGTTACCATGAATCGAACATTGTGTTCTGACATTTAACTGAATATCTATCATCGAACCCTATACTTGCTATGTTTTATTTATTGTCATATTTGCGCCAATAATAATACTATTTAGTTAAGAATGATGATCCTGAATAATTCATTCAATTTACAGCATTACTTGGTATATGTCTATTTATTTTAGACTTCTTTTGGATTGGGGTACGTCGGAACGAGGCGGGAGTTTTCGTTGATTTGAAAGGAGTAGAACAGACTTATTTGCTTTGGCCGGCAATGGGGACGTATACTATACCAGAGTCACACGAATGCGTCGCAGTTTGGTAAATACTATCTTTATTTTATTTAAATATATATATATATATAATTCAAATTATACACTTATTTACTTAATTTTATTTACTCACTCATTATATCATAATATATCAAATTTATTTTTATATTATTATCTGCATATATGTTTGATAGTGAAATAAACTTCATGCATTCATTCATTCATTCATTCATTCATTCATTCACAAGTTTCACATGATTTTAAGCTGCTAAAACTTATAATGAAAATTGTGAAACTGTTATATTGTTTACGAATGGAAAGTATGCTCTAAGTGTATTTTCTGGCAAACTAGAATTATCATCTTTAAAGTTGTCTATTTAAAACTTTTTAATTGAATGTTGGGACATCTAAATAATAAATAAGTTGAAACTCAGTTACTTGTTGCGCTTTTGATAAGATTTTTGTTTCAGTGATCAGACTTTGGTAAATACTATG